GTTGTTTGTAATCTCAACAACTAATAAAAATCGTTGCAACCATGGAATTTGTTTGTGTATAAAATAAGACACTCTCAGCCAAGTCAAATCTATCATCTGCTGCAAACAAATCTAAATCACAAAAAAAAGTTAAAATGAAGGTTTTTATTGCTCTTGCCTTGGTCGCCCTCGCTGTGTGCGCCGTCCAGGCCGCTGAACACGGCAAGTTTTCCCAGTGATTGCTTAGTATTTTTCAATATTAATCTTTGTTTCGATTATCAGAATGCCATGGAAAGGATGAAGTGTTCAGCAACTGTGCTACGGCCTGTCCTGACACCTGCCTCAATCGAGCTATTCGTCGACCGTGCATTGAAATCTGCCGTCAGGCGTGCGTTTGCAAGGCTGGATCCATGCGCAAGGGCTGGGACAACATGGGAGGCATTGGCGAGTGCGTCCAGGCGACCCAGTGTGATGCGCTGATTAAGGAAGCCAGCAAACACAACTAATTGATCATAGATTCGATTGTAATCTTGTGATTCCAGCAAGTGCTAATAAACTGTAGCAATAACCAGTTGTTTCAATGGCCAATTCTTTAATGAAAAGAGAAAGAAGATTTATATCTGTACAAAGAAGAAGAGAAGTAGTAGCTGTACAATGCAAAGGAAAAGTGTGAAACAGACAGTGTGGTGCACAAGACGCACTACAAAAGACAGCGAGTTGTTGTTTTGTGTAGTGGGAGAGGAAAACAGAAAACTCAAAATCGGAAAAAGGAAAGCAAAAGAAGACTACAAAAGCTACAAATTAATTAAATATATAAATATATTTGTTGCTTTATGGCAAAAAGAGGAAACAGTTCAAATTGTACAGTGGTCTACAGAAGACAAAAGAGGTGTGTGTGTTTGTGGGCGTGTGTGGGTGTGTGTAGTGTTTTGAATTAATGTGAGGAATTACAAATCATTTACATAGAAAAAAGAAAGAAGAGAAGGAAGAGAAAAGAATCATCAGCGCAAGAAGAGAAGAGCAAATAAAAAGTAAATTAAATGGCGGAAATTGAAAAAAATAGCAATAAAATAAATTAGGAAACTGGAGAAGTGAGAAGACGCGAGAGAAATATGATAGTACAAATAGTAGGGAAAGGAAACAGTGGAAGAAGAGAGAAAATCAGAACGAAATGATAAGAAGAGAAGAATATACCACTTGAAAATTTATCAAATAGATTAGGTCTGGTCCACACGAGTTGTGAGTTTGAAGAAGAGAAGGGAAAGGGGAAGGGAAAAAGTAGAGTTGGTGTTTGCAGAGGTGATGCTGTGTGTGTGTGTGTGTGTGTGTGTGTCTGCCAAAAGAAACAGGCAAAACAGAATTAAGTGGGCTCAGAAGAATTAGTAGACGAGAGAGAGAAAGAACGTGAAGCGAAAATGGGCAACGGTCAACGAGAGAAAGAGAGAAAGGTGAAAAGGTTGTGGTCAATATATCACACTGATTTGGGTAGTTGGGGTGTCGGCTTGTCGTCGAGGTGTGTAGTGATCATCTGTGGCATCATCGGCATCAGAAGAAGACGAAAACGAAGACGAAGAAGGTGATGATGAAGTCAAGGGCTCAAGGGTTAGAAGGAGGAGGGAAGAGGAAAAAAAACAACAGAAAAGCAGAGAAGCACTTCGAGACTGAAGAGTGTGTTCCACAACACAAATGTGCTGTGGAACACTGCTCGGTACTTTTGTTTTTATTATTCAAACAGATGAGATGGTGGTCGAGCGCAATCAACAGCTGGTTACTCAATGGTTTGTTGAGTTATCTTTCTAATGGTTGAGGCAAGTAGTAGTAGTGGAAGAGAAGAGAAGAAGAAGAAAGAGAAGAAGAAAAAGAAGTGATGATCACTGTTGGCCTATTTGTGTGGTGTGTTGTGGTGAATGGCGGTGCCTAATATTCAAATTGATCTCAGAGAAACATCCAAAGTTGATATTGATATTCATTCATTGCAACGCCTGTTGAAAGTTGTCTCTCGCTTTCGTTCGATCGTTCGTTCTCTATTCGGCATTGGCCAGCGGATCGGTGAAGAGCTCCTGGACCTCGTACTCGTAGCGCGCCTTGATCAGACTCCTCTTGAGCTTCATGGCGGCGGTGAGGTAGTTGTCGGGGCTCCACTCGTCGGTGACCAGGCGAATCTTGGTGGGAATCTCCGCCTTCTTGAGATTATTCTTGAGACCAGTCTCGCGCAGCGACTTCAGCACCAGCTCCACCAGACGGGGGTCGGTGGTGGCGTCGGCTCGCGGCACGCGGTACGTCTTCGCCAGCTTGCCGAAGCGGTTCGGATTGGGCACTACTAAGGCAACGAGGTAATTGGCGAGCGCATTGCCAAAGACGCAGATATTGTCCACGTAGCTGCAGTTTTTGAGTATCGATTCAATCTGAAGGCAAAAAACAGAGTTAATTCATAAACAGTCTCTACCATTTCACACAAAAATACTGTACCTTTCCAAGCGAAAAGTATTCACCGTTTGCCAGCTTGACCAGGTCCTTCTTTCGATCTATCAAATAAGCACAAGTTAGTAAAGAGAAAAATGAGCGAAAAGCTACCCCCCACTAACCGATAATTTTGAACGTTCCATCCTCGTACACCTCGGCAATATCACCCGTTCTGAACCAGCGAATGTCCAGGTCCTTGTCGTACTCGTACAGCTCGGCGTTCATCTCCGGCTTGTCCAGGTAGTTCAGCGAGTTGGCCTTGCTGCCGATGATCAGCTCGCCGCGGGGGCGCGGCTGGTCGCTCACCCGGTAGCCGCCCTCCGCCCAGTCGTCCAGCTTGGCGTAGACGCCGCGCAGCGGTCGTCCACAGCGGCCATAGGAGAGATCATAGTCGTCCATGCAGAGACAGGCACCCAGGGTCTCCGTCATGCCGTAGCCCTGCACCAGCGTCGTGTCCAGAGCGGCCTTGATCAGCGCCTGTAGACTGGCAGAGAGGGGGGCGCCGCCGAGAATGACCTTCTCCAGGCGGCCGCCAAACTGCTCGCGAATCTTCTTGCACAGCAGGGCGTTCACAATGGGTGTCTTGAAGCCTAGTGATAATGAACGTAATTAGTAAAGGGAAAATTCAAAATCACAAGCACAACAAACCTCTTTGCGTCCACTTGATCTTGTAGTCCATCAGGTAGTTGAAGAGCGGAGCACTGATCGGAGAGCGCGACTCGAGCTTCATGAAGATCTCCTTTCGCATGCGCTCCAGCACCAGCGGCACGGCAATCATAATGGTCGGCTGGAGGAGGCGAAAGTCCGAGGGGGTGCCCTTGGCCAGGCCGGGCGCAGAGTCGGTCAGCGTGAAGGGCGTGGCAAAGCCGAGCGGGGCACCGAGGGCGAGCGCCAGCAGCTCACAGGTCGCCTCAAAGATGTGCGCCTGCGGGAGGTAGGCGACGTACATGTGCTGATCAGAGACGCCCATAATGTGCGCCAGCACGGGCAGTATGGCGTGCAGCAGTTGCACGAACTGGTACGAGGTCGCCTGAACTCCTTTCTGCAATGGGGTGAAAAGGGGATTTTTAGTATGCGTATAACTTCCCTGAAATCAGGTTGAACTTCAAAACAAAACTTACCGGAACGCCGGTGGTGCCGCTGGTGTACACTGTGAAAGGGGAGAAGAAGAGAAGAGGGTTAGTATCATGGAAAGTAGAAGGTAACTAGATAGGCGGCGGCGGAAGAGCACTTACTGATAAAGGCAATCTCATCCTTGTGGATGGGCTTACAGCGGTCCTCGACCTCGTGGCCGCGCTCCTCGCCGTCCTGCTCCACGTCAATCAGCGAGATGAACTGCGTCTCGCCCAGGCTGCTCACCAGCTTGTCGCACTCCTTCTGCTCCTCGTCGTTGACCTCCTCGACGCGGCGCGGCGTGTAGAAGACCTTCTCAATGTTGAGGTTGTACTCCTGGATGATCGACCGGGTCTTCGCCAGCAGCTCAAAGGAGGTGAAGATGAACTTGGACTGCGTCTCCTGGACGGCATGGGCAATGCCCGAGTCGCCCAGCGTCGAGAAGACGTTCACCTGGACGGCTCCGGCCCGGGCGATGGCCAGCTCCACCATGAGGTACTCGGCGCAGGTCTCGCAGAGGATGACCACGCGGTCGCGCTGGTTCACTCCGTTCAGGTGAAATCCGCTGGCCATGTGGTTCTTCCGCTTGATCATCTCCTCGTAGCTGATCCAGTTGTAGTCCGACAGTTCGCGCTTCTTCACCGGGCGGCCGTCGATGCGGAGGGGCGTAACGCCGTCCGGTCCGGTGACGACGTGCTCGCGCAGCACCCGTCGGTAGCCGAGCGCCTTTCGGTCCAGGTTGAAGTAGTTGTGCACCTTGTCCATCATCTCGTCGATGGTGTTCACCTCATCGAGGACGTACTTGTAGTCGCTGGGAAAGGTGCTGACCCAGGGCGAGCTGGGGTCGTCCTTGACGAGCGGCGTGGCGCGAATGAAGTTGGCCTTCTGCAGCGTCTCGCTGGGCGTCTGAGCCAGCCAGTAGAAGGGCAGCGTCAGGTAGGTGTACAGCTGGACGATGGGCTTGAGGATGAGCTGAATGAAGATGATCTTGATGACCAGCGTGAACAGATCTGAGGGGCGCTTTTTCAGCTTCTGATTGGTGGAGGAGGAGGAGGAGGTGGCTGATGAAGCGGAAGATGAGCCCGTATGGCTGCCACTGTTTCCCTTCTCCACGCCATTTGAGAGGCGGCCGTTGGCGAGCGAGCCATTGGCGACGGCGGTGTTGGCTGAAGCTGATGAGGCTGATCCACCGTTCATGATCACAGGTTGACCGTTGCCGTTCATGACAAGCGATGATGGAGGTGTGCTGGCGCTCGATGTAGACGAAGCAGTCATCGTCGAGCTACGATGCGTTTTAAGAGCTCTCTTTCACTCTCTCTAGTGCGACCAGAGCAATCAGAGAGGGAGGGGGCGTCGCGTTCGGCTGATAAACACAAGACAACACTGCACTGATGACGAGGATGATGTTCAACAACCACCGGCTAGTGCCAACAACTTGTGAGTGAGCAGTGAGTGAGTGAGACGAAGTACACAATGTAACAAGGAGAAGGAGAAGAAACAAAAATAGCCTCGGCGAGTGCCTGATAAGTCGAGCCTATTTCTCACTAGTGACACTGAAACAGTCTGAGAGTGTGAGTAAATCTGGGTGCTGGTCTGAAGATCGACTTTGATGAGTACTCGGTGAATGGTGGTGGTGGCTCACGCAAAGCGACAGTTTTGTCTTCTATTCGCAGTTCCTCAGTGTGACATGTGTACACGACAGAGCAGCAGACGTTCACACAGAGCGCGAGCAAGTGGTCGACTAAGATTTGGCTGATAAATTCCGCCGATTATATATGATGAGCAGAGTGTGTTCAGCAGCTAGAGTAGCAGCAGCAACTGCTGATGATGACGATGGGGTGGCGATCGGTGGACTCGACGAGTGACTCTGATAAAGGGCAAGAAAGAAATGATAAAATTAGTTAGTTAGTTAGTTAAAGCGATGGAAAGCAGACAGTCAGGCTAATATGTCAGCAGTGATCAGCAGCAGCAGCAGCAGCAACAGCAAAGGATGACATTTGCAGCCGAGTGAAAAGTTTCCCTGCACCGGTTCGCACCCTCTCAATGTACACCACCACCATCACTACCACCAGCAACAGATGCAGTGCCTTACCATGACCATCAAAGCATCAAAAAGCAGCACCCGTCAGACTGGCCATCAGACAGACACAGACAGAGACATAGACAGACAGTGAGTATTCGGTCATTGAGGCAAACGGCACTGGCGTACGCACCACCACCAATTGACACATGCTCTGAGTGAGTGAGTGAGCCAGCCAGTGAGCAACAAGAAACAGACAACACCAAAATCACGCGAGATAACTTTTTCCCCACAGACACACACACTGACACTGACACAGGCACCTTCCTTCTTTCCGTCCAGTGCTGTACACAGACTGAGTCAGTGCCCACCACTGCACAGCAGACGAAAGTGTCAGAGCGCGCGCCTACTTCCAGATCAGACCACCACCATTCACATCCAATCTCGAGGGCTACTGCTGATGATGATGATGCTGATGATGCTCAACTAGTGTCCATCATCGCCGTCGAACGGCTCGACTTTCTCTCTTTCTCTCTCCCTTTTACGCGAGTTGCATTTCATCCCAGGCAGCATCACTCTTTTACCTAGCCAGTTTCAGCAGCAGCAGCAGCAGCTTTAGAGTGCGTGCGTCTTCAGCTGCGAAAAGGGCAAGTGAGCGAGCGCGCGTTCGCGAGCAGCAGTAGTAGTTATCAGCAGTTGATCTTCCCAGCACTAGTACAGAACACGCAAACGAGTCAGAGACACTGGAACAGATAGAGCGGCAGCAAAGACAGAGCCTTTCTCGCGCAAGAGTGGAGCACGCTGACTGACTCACCCACTCTGAGCACGCATTATCCCCTTTCGATCATTATTAGCCTCTCTTCCCCTCGTAGTGGGCAAACCTGGTAGACAGACAACAGTGTTGTTCGCTGTGTAGTAGACAGTCTGCTGTTGTCTGCTGCAACAATTAGATCCACCGGTAGACTGCAGACAGACGGTGGTGCAAGTAAATAAACAACAAAAGACCACTGTGTAGAAAAGAAGGCAGGTATCCGCGCACAGCACAGGGAGGGAAGGGAGACATATGCATGTGTGCTGTTGGTTACCTTCCGCCAACACACACAACAGGCTAATGGCCAGATTAGTGAAAATTGACACTGGTGTGAATGTCTCCCCACTGAACGAACTAACAAGGAGGCTGCTGCTACTATCTGGTAAAAAGCAGTGTGCTTTGTGCTCTAGACACCCAACCAAAGCAAACACTCATTATCCCCTGTTATTGGAGAAAAAGCACCGTTTTGTTTATTCATTCACACTCACTTACACCTAATCACGCAGAGCAAATTAAGCGCGCCTGTCATGGAAATGCCCCACCATCATTTTAGNCCCTGTTATTGGAGAAAAAGCACCGTTTTGTTTATTCATTCACACTCACTTACACCTAATCACGCAGAGCAAATTAAGCGCGCCTGTCATGGAAATGCCCCACCATCATTTTAGTGTAGTGCACCCTTCGTCACTACTTGTCAACACAGCCAACAAAAGAATATAGCACTTGTGTGCATTAGCAGTATTGTACTAAAGAAGAAAATTCGAGGACAGAGACAGTGCTCTCTGCAGGTGGCAGTGGATGTTAGATAGAGAAAGAGAGACAAAGCTGAGTGAGAGCTGATGCACCGGGGATGGACAACAATAAAAGTCCGAAGTGCAGAGAGGAAGCCTGTGGAAAACACGCGATGTTGTTGGCCTTGCACGAGCACATTTGTGCATTTGGTAAATTGGTGGCCGACTCGGCAAAGAAAGCAAATTGATCGCGCCGATTCTGCAGGGCGAATGAGCGCACCTACACACCGAAACACAAAAAGTGACAATCGATTGTCGAAACACAACTAGTGCCAACACAAGCGTACCCAAACGGTAGCGCAATTGTGGAGGTTGGGGAGTCCTGGTTGAAAAGTCGAAAAAAGGTAAGGGTAAAAGGCGGAAATCAATACAGGAGAGAGGCGAGCAGCTCTAAAATGCAACACTGAAACAGTGAAGCGACAATTTCAGCTAGACAAGAAGCGACATTTACTAGTCAGCAAGTGAGCTAGACAGGAGAGAGAGACAGCGAGCAATTTTCTCAATTGGAAACAGCAAAAGCCAATAAATGTAAAAAGCAAAATCCAAATGTCATTTGACTGGCTGGCTGACTGTAAACAAGTGGAATCACTTCTCCCCAACAAGATGTCATTTTACTAGAGCGAGCGCTGAAAAGCTGCACACACGGTACAGCGCAAATAAATCTCCAAGGTCTGCGCGCTAAAGGTAGCGTAGTGGTGGTAATGGTGGTGATGGTGATGGTGATGATGGTTGTCACTGTCCTCTCCCTAGTGTACGACTCTTGCTGCCTTCGATTCGTTGAGTCATATCGAGGCGAACAAAATTCGCAGCATCACAGTCTTTCTACACTACGCTGGCTAATCTTAGTGAGTGTGAGACTGGAGAAACAGCAGCAGCAGCCGAAGCAACAGCTCTGGGTACTGTCAATCATCAGAGAACAGTTTGAGGACAGTGGAGCCAAGAGACAGTCAAGGGGGGCGATTAACGACGCACACATATTGGCAGAACGAGTAGCAAATAGTGCGTCGCACTGGTGCTGCTGGCAGTGAAGACAGAGCACTCTCTTTGTGTGTTCACTGGTTGAATGCAATTAGCGCCAATCAGTCGGTGCGCGCGATTTCGCTAATCAGCAGATTTGAGCTGAGTGAGTGAGTCGGTGCGATTTAATTCAAGCTAGTTCTCCTCTCCTATGACAATTAGACAGTTCAACCGTACAGCTGTAGAAGAGAGGGAGAGGGAAGGAGGTAGGGTGACTGGAGACGCCCGATGAGACAGCAAGAAAGATCCGGTAGCAGCAGAAAGATCTGGTAATGTGAGTACGCTCAAACACGCCACCACCACTACTGTACAGTAGCAAGATGATATGCACTGAAACACACCACTTCAGGCAAACTTGTCATTGCTGCTGCTGTGAACCTGCAGCTGTCCGCGTAGCCATGTGTGTTTATAAACACACACACAGTAGTTCGTTCCAACACAAAGCAGCCACTTGTGCTGCTGCACTTTGATCGCACAGACTCCACAGACGACACTCCACAGAGGTCGGACGCTACTGGTGCTGCTGCTGCTCAGATGCAAAGTAACGGCGACGACAGTTGGAGAGCACCACCACCAGCACCATCATCAGCAGCAGCAATCAGTGCTATCAGACGGCACTACAGCAACAGCTGCAATAGCTGTACATGTCCCTTGGAATCGTGTGACAATGCTCGGCGAGTAGCCCGGTGGCTGGCATGACACTGGTGGTGTCGCAGCACACTGCACACACTGAGTCTTCTCTTGTACGAGGAGGCAGCAGTGAAGTGAGTAAGTGAGTGAGCCAGTCGGCCCTCTCACTCACTTCGCGCACAGCAGTGACACAGGCGAAAGAAAATGCAGGCCACCTAAATATAGTAGTGTGCAGACATACTTGTGGTGATGGTGGTGGTGCCCAGGCGGCAGACACTAGTGTGCTTGATGCAATTTCTGTGCACACACACATACAGACAGGTCCCATTAGCAGCAGAGGACGACGACATACTTGGGGAGAAGTACTCGACTTGAAGACACAGAGCACAGATACGAGCGTCGATGTGTCACCAAGATCAAACAATGAGCAGACACCACCACCACAGTGACAAAGTGGGTGAGGGGCAGGAATGAAAGCCTAAGTACGGTACACTACTCCAAGATGAGCAGAACTGATTTGACCACTTGATAACGGTGCAGCACACTTCAAGAACACCCGAGCATCAAGCTGTCAGCAAAAGGGAGATTAAAGTACAAATCAATAGACAGACACAGGCTTGTCAGAAAAAGTGCAACTCCATAGTAATTAATCGTCAATCGCTGTGAAGTTCTAAACCACGACGACAACGACGTCAATAGGAGAGGAGAAGAAAACTAAACTTGAATTTACATGACACGAGTGGTTGACAATAAAAATAAAGAAAGAAAGAAGCACAAAACTTATTTTGCGCCAGTGGCGCAAATTCAATTCATCCGCCGAGATGAAGGCAATCGGCGCCATTCATCTGAACCAATTGAACGGAGAGAAATGTCGAGAGAGATGTTGTGTGTCTGCCGCATTCAGTTTTCAGATTTGATCTGCCAGCGGGCTCTCCCTTGAGA